TTTTTTTTTTTTTTTTAATCACCTGAAACTTATATTACAAACCAACTTATCTGATGCAATTACTGTAAAGTATGCAAACCATGCACAAAGCGCAAACATTTGGCGCCGAAGTTTATTTTTTATAGCTAATTTTTCCCCGCACAAAGGTAGTTTCAGTTTTGCTTTAATCTTGTATAGACTTGGTGATTATAATGAATTCCACTATAATTTATGATTGTTTTAAACTGTTTAAACTTGTCATTTCTGTTCTGTTCTGAATTTTTAAAGGATTTGTTGTGGAGTGATAGAAATTAACGATTTATTCAAAAAATTTGGATTATAGTGTAGTTTTATTATGCTTTTGAGATTCACAACTATATGATTTTGTCGTATGGAAAAGAGCAGCATGAATATTCTTCAAAATATCTCTTTTTACATTCCACACAAGAAAGTCGTATGGATTTGGTGTGACAGGGTGAGTACATGATGACAGATTCCCCCCCCCCGCTTTCTTTAAGCTCCTTCTGCTAATAAATAGCACAGAACAGCAGAAAAAAAAATGTCCAGTGGCAATTTCTTCTGTTTATGACATCTATCGGGCCCAGGATTGACCCCTGTGGTGTCCCAACTAATGCAATAGAGAATGCCTCATGTGCAGGCTTGCGTTCACATTTGCCACCCCCCAAACCGTTAATTAGGTTGAAAAAACACAATCTTCTTGACATTTTATGTTGTTAGGAAGCAAAAAAACATTAGGTAGAGGTTTAGGCGAGCTAGAGAACTAGAGACAAGAAAGAATTTCTTCTGATCAGCACTGTCAGGAAAAAAAAATATATATATATTTTCTTATTCTCACATCCTGTGTGTGTAATAAGCAGAGTGTACTTGAGCTGTGGACCCGCCTATACTAACGCGCTCTTTAAATAACAAAAAAACTGTTTCTCTAACATTGGCGAAATGACATGCATGTTTTTATTATATTTTATGCTTATTGCTCAGCGTGCTTGTATATGTAAGAGTGGTTTTCCTGTACGTACCTCCTCCAGTTTGAGTGTGATCATAGTGAAGGCCACTGTCAGGAAAAAAAAAAAAAATATATATTTTCTTATTCTCACAGGGACACACTCACCCACTCCTGGGTTTTTCTCCTTGGTAACCCACTTCAATCTTTACCCAGAAGCTATTGTTATTAGCAACTACCTTGAAAATACCAACACATTCATATCAAACTAATGAATTAGAGTCCGCCGCATGTGCGCGTCATGTGCCCTTGAGATGAAAGGCTTCATTTAAATATTCATGTCTTCTGCAGTCTTTCAGCTTTAATGTGGCGGACATCAACTGTTTTGAAGATGTATGTGGGATGTAAGGGCGTTACGGTGTCTTTCTTCCAGCATTAATCCACATTTATGTGTAAAAATGCATGTGGTGTAGCGCTGCACTAGCTTCAAAGGAATACCGTCTGTTCTGCGCACATGATGCATGCTGGGAAGCTGAGAAAGACAATATTTATGAGTAGCATGTAGCTTACCTCCTCTCGTATCCTTTTCACAGTCTCTCCTTTCTGTAGGGGAGAAAAAAAGATCATAAAGCACTTATTGCCTTTGTCTCGCGTTTGTTTGCATGACATGTTGTTTTCCCAGGGTGACTGTCTTTCACAATGGCTTATAGTGGAGGATAAAGTGAGTTTGACTAGTTTAACATATCTCAAATTAATATCAATTCTGCTTCACTACACAGCAATATGGCATCTGCATGGATAGGCCTCAGGGGAACAGGTTTTCCAATCGAAGGCCCTGCAATTGGACTGACTAGGGAATCAATAGTCCATGAATCACTTAGATAGCCTCAGATAGTGTCTTGCTATCTCCGACACAAAAGCTAACGTGTGCGGCATAGTCATGACTGCAGACCTGCTTTTGCACGCTTGACTGGTGTTTCATTGTCTTTAGATGGGCTAAAAGGATGATTGGATATGTCATAACAGAGGTGAAGCGAGGCTTGGGTGGTTTTAATTTATCAGGGAAATTGACATTTCAGATGAAACATTTTCGAGACCACCCATCTCATAAATCTAGCCTTAATACGAATAAAATTTCATGCCACAAAGTTCTTTAAAAGTTTCTCTAACATTGGCGAAATGACATGCATGTTTTTATTATATTTTATGCTTATTGCTCAGCGTGCTTGTATATGTAAGAGTGGTTTTCCTGTACGTACCTCCTCCAGTTTGAGTGTGATCATAGTGAAGGCTCTAAACACACACTCTGTGGCACCCGTGATGGTGATGATTCTCTCTGGGCATGAGCCTTCTGAGATATTGATACGTGCACTGCTCTGTAAGGATGGAAAAGTAAAGGAGCAGTAAATGGATGGGAGGTTGATAAAGAGAAAGAGGAAAAAAAACTGAGTAAATAAACTAAATATTATGCATTTACTCTAGTACGCAGTATTTCTGCTCAAATGCATAGGAAAGTTGTGGCCTTGCTTTTATTGTATTTTAACCTCAGAAATGAAATATGCCGGAGGTATGTGTGCATTTTTAGGCACATAAATTAATAAAAATGCATTTTCTTTCTACATCAGGTAGGATGCCAACAGTACTTGAACCACCAACTGTTTTTTTAACTCCAAGTTGGCAAAAACACCTTAATCCATAATGAAGAAAAAAAAATAGTTACCATATTCAGCATTGTAAACAAAAACATAATATACCACAAGACATTCCTATCCAGACAGGATTAGATTTCTCAGAGGACGCTCAAGAAAATAGTAGGCAATTTGTTCAGTATTTTTTAACCAGGGCTGTGCGAGAAAAACGCAGGCGTGTTCGATTCGGATGGGATTAAAATCACAACATACATCTGTAAAACACAAATTTACCTGACCTCCTCAGGGAAACTAGTTCCGCCCGCATAGGCCTTATGTTAGGTGTGCGTATCGTGTGTGCTCTGTCTAAATGTGTGGATGTCTCCAGCAGAGATCTGGACTGAGCTGCATGATTCATTCTCTTGAAGGGCTCTGACTGTCAGCTTCATTTAAACTGATCTCTCTATCAATCATGCACAAATGCATGCAAATGCAAGTGAGTTTAGTCAACAGTGTATTGAAGCTACAGTATAACTTACGTTTTATACAATTTGTATATTAATATTATGGTTACACTTTATTTCGATAGTCCACTTTAGACATTCTACTAACTATAAGTAACTTTGTAACTACATGTCAACTTCATGTCAACTAATTCTCATTAATCTGCATCTACATGTCTACTAACTCTCAAACATTTTCGAGACCACCCATCTCATAAATCTAGCCTTAATACGAATAAAATTTCATGCCACAAAGTTCTTTAAAACATCAAACTATGATGCATGTAGCAGTGTTTGCAAATGCTTATTAAATAACCTAAATATAACTTAACCAGTCTCTTTCAGAGTTGAAACCATATATAACTGAACAGAAACAAGGCTGCAGAAGACCAGAAGTACATTTCTATCATGACAACTCTCTGAGGCTTTGGTAAGAAATATTGCTGCTGCACATATAACATATATGAATAACCCCTATGTAGCATACATGAATAACCCCATAGCAGATCTATACAGGTGGAGCTGGGGAAGGTGGAGGGTTTCTAAAGCACACTGCAACTGCTACAGCAAGCACTAGCCAAGTATTTGAATGTTGAGCAGCAAGCTCATTGGCTGCTGATACGAAAAGAACCAATCAGCTGCACCATGTGATGATGTCATTATGTCAGATTGAGTTAGACCTATTGGACTGCACCATCTAGAGTTTCATGTCAGGATTTTGTTAATATGTCATACTTGTGTGTTGATTCAGCCAATGAAACATTAAAAATGCATATTTAACAAAATGACTGACAAAAATGTTTTGGGGTTTCGTTGTTCATCAATGACAATGTTGGGTTATTATAGTTAACTAACTAACTAAATGTTATTTGAAATAAAATCAACATTAATTGAAACAAAACATGTAAAAAGTATTTCATTTCAGCTTGTTGCCAAAAAAAAAAAAACTAACTAAACTAAAACAACAAAATTACTAGAACTATTTACTATAATTACTAAAATAAAAAAAATATATAACTAATATAACTATTA